TTAATTGCATGCATCTACCAATAGATGGCTCCAGATAAATTTTAAAAAAATGAATGAAAATTATTGATAAAGGACTTTCTGCAGTAGAGTGAAAAAAAAGCAGGAATGACTTAAATTATTTTTGTTATATTACTTGTTTTATATACGCAGTTATATGTAACATAACATTGTCTGCATCAACTCCTGTATATATTATTTTCAAATATATATATTATATTTTCAAATATATTTTTATATTAAATCAACCTTTCCATAGTTCCCCTCAGATCGATGATAAAAGACAGAAAAAAAAATGCTGATACTCGGATTGTATGCCGCTTCACAACGGTTCGAGTATTTTTTCTGTTGACTATTTTTTTTTTCAGCCAAGCGTGACGCTTATGGAGACGTCGGTATTTTTGTTCAGAGACGGAAACATATTCTTCTTTTTATTCCTCTTTATTTCTCTCTGTCTCTGCGAGAAAAAAATCGTTACACGTCGATATCCTCTATAGCACATCGCATTGAAATAAAAGCAGAGCGCTTAGAGCGCTTAGAGGTTTCTATAATAAAGATGCTTTTTTTTCTTGGTGTAGTAAAGTGTTTTTAGGTGGTTCAGATTGGGTAGAATGGCAACAGTGTATCCTTTGATGGCCAGATTGTATAGGAATATGTTCATTGTGTACCGGTTGAATAGAGTGAGAAGAAGAGATTATTAAGGGAGAGTGTGTTGTTCAAGTTGAAAATAGAATTTTAAAAAATAAGTGAAATAAATAAATAAATAATAATATATTTCAATAAATAAAAATAAATATAATATAAAACATGTATTTATTTATTTATAATAATAATTGAATAAAAATAATATAATAAATAGAATGACATTTGTAAATAAATAATAATAAGTTAGAATAATAAAAAAAAATATAATTATATTAATAATATATATATATGTAATATATTATGAAAAAATAATAATAATATAAAATAATCATGAATTAAATAAAAAAATAAAATAGCATTTATATTAATATGATTGAATAAATATCCGAGATTTTACGTTTTAATATTATTGATTTTTGATGTGTAGTGATTTAGAAATTAGACCTTAAATCTTAGATCCATACATATATATATGGATCTGAGATATATATATATATATCCATATAAACTCATGTTTGTGAAAATGCAACACCATGAAGGAATCGTCATAATTGAATGAAATTTAGTACACAGTTGATTGGAAGTGGCACAAATAGATGATTAAATGTTCAAAGCAAACAAACAATAACAAGAGATCGGAATCAGTATTTTGTATAGCCACTACGACCCGCAATAAGTGCTGCTACATGACGTGGCATGGAGTTAACAAATTTTGAATGTCTGCCTGAGGAAGAGCATTCCATATTGTTTGTATACGCACCCAAAGTTCGTCTGCAGAAGCAACAGGACGAGGATCACGAGCGAGACGCCGACCAACGAAATCCCACACATGTTCAATCGGCGACATATCCGGGGAATACGCAGGCCAAGGAAGAAGCTGTACCTGCCGCGTTGCAAAGAAGGATTGAACAGCCTAGCGATATGAGGGCGGGCATTGTCCTGTTGAAATACAGCGCCTGGCAAGCTTTGAAGGAAGGGAACAGCTTGGGGCTGCAGAACTTCACTGATGTACCGGTTCAAATTGCCCACAATTTTTAGCAATTGAGGTCGTCCATGATATGCTATGGCACCCCAGACCATAACTTCGGGTGTTCGTCCACTGTCGCGTTCGATAATGCACTCCGGAAGGTGGCATTCACCGGCATAGCGTCTGACACGAATGCGGCCATCATGGTACCACAAATTAAAGCGGGATTCGTCAGAAAACACGACATGATGCCAATCAGCAAGCCAGTCTCTATGCTGAGCGGCCAATTGTAGCCGCAGGCTGCGATGGTTTAGCGTGAGTGGGATCCTGTAGAAAGGAGTCCTTGCGCGCAGTCCACGCTGCAGCAGACGTCTACGAATTGATGAAGCACACAATGAAACACCTGTAGCTATTGACCACTGTGCTGCCAATTGTCTAGAGGAAGCTGTACGGTCCGTCAGCGCCATACGGACCAGGTGTCTATCATCGCGAGCTGACGTCACATTTCGGGGTCCACACCCGGATTTCCAAGTTGTCCGACACTCGTCCGTCCACTGCTTCCAAAGACGCATCACTGTGCTGCTGTTACGTTGCACACGAGCGGCTACTGCACGACAAGACAATTCAGCTTCACGAAGGCCGATGATTCTCCCCCGTCCAAACTCTGTAAGTTGTTGAAATCTGGCTCTCTTTCGTCGAAGAGGCATAAGTAACGATTGAGCTAACGTTTACCACTAGCAGATAATCGCCGATAACCATACACGCCTCGCTACAGCCGTCTATTTATTCCGATCCATCCGCCGTTCAGAGGGCGCTGCTCAGCATACGCATACGCTACGGATTTGAAATTCTAATCATTCGCATATCATGCGCTAATTTGCATTTCCTGAAAATTTCAGCTAACTCGCGTAAGTCCTCCATGGTGTTGCAATTTTCGCAAACATGACTCATGTATATATATATATATATATATATCCATATATATTTATACTTTATATATATATATGATCTAGTGCACATTTTTTTATCAATTATACAATGACCAATTATTAAACTTCTTATTTACTTTATATTCTTCATTGCCTCTACAGCCTCATGGTTAGCCAAGACTGTTGGCTTACAGGCTGATTTCGAGACAGGTGGTTCCTGCTTACAGGGTATAAATATATGCATATAATCAAGTGCAAATTTTTATCCACTCTTCGATGACAAATTATGAAACTTATTATTTATTTTATCTTCTTCATTGCCGCTACATCCCCCTGGTGAGCCAAGTCTCTCTGCCTACTGGCAGATTTCGAGACAGGTGACGTTTCGTTTTTACAGGATAGAATTGTCAGACATATGTCCACTGCTCTAATGCCATATTATACCGGCAACTACGATTTAAAGTGGATTTCGAAACAATATAAACGACCATGGCCCCACCAGGACTCATACCATAAATCTGTGGCATCGATGGCCAGAGAACTAGTCCCACGGCCATCAGGCCCATTTATTTTTTCACAAATATTTATTTAAATTTTTAATGATTTAATATTATAATTTATATTTATAAAATATTAAATATCCTGTTTTTATTCGATAAATGAGTAGCTTATTTTATATACTTTGTTTAGCCAACGGCCGTACCATGCTGAATATACCGGTTCTCGTTAGATCACCGAAGTTAAGCATCATTGGGCGCGGTCAGTACTTGGGTGAGTGACCACCTGGGAACACTGCGTGCTGTTGGCAAATTTGGGACCTGAATGGCCGACTGTCTAGCGCTCTGGCGCTCGGTGCCACAGTTTTCGGGTTCGAATCCCGGCGGTGCCATGAATGTTTGTAGTGGTTCGGAATCCACTTTAAGCTGTAGGTCCCGGTCTTCTATGACTATAAGAGCGTCACGGAGCAAAAGTCAGGCTTCTACCTACGGGTGCTCCATCACAACCGAAGCTGCTTCCTTCCCCTTCAATCATGAGTCCATATGGGCTCGTGGGCTTGGCCAGCCAAGTGGGATAAGAAACAACAACAAACAAACATATACATTGTTTTCATCAACAGAATATTTTCTGAATCAACTCCTGTATTTATTATTTTCATCTTCATAAGAACTTAGCCTCTCCATAGTTACCGATCGATGATAAAAGACAAAAAAGTACTGTTATTCGGATTGTATGTCGCCTCGCTACTGTTCGAGTATTCTTATTGTGGACTGCTTTTTATTTCAGCCCTGCATGACGCTTATGGAGACGTCGGTATTTCTGTTGAAAGACGGAGGCATATACCTCTTTTTATTCCTTTCTGTTTCTCTCTGTCTCTATCTCTCTGCGAGAAAAAAAATCGTAACAATTCGATTTTCTTTATAGCACATCTCATTGAAATAAAAGCAAAAGCGTTTGCGCTTAGAGGGTTCTATAATAAAGATGCTTTTTTTGTTCTTCGTATAGTGGGGGTTTTTTAGGTGGTTTATATTACATAGAAAGGCAACGATATGTCTTTTGATGACCATATTGTACAGAAATATGTTCATTGTGTACGCGTTGAATAGAGGGAGAAGGAAATACCTAGTTTGTAACAAAGCCACTTCAGAGTGTATTGTTCAAGTCGGAAATAGCATTTTTAATAATGTTGTTGTTGTTGTTGTTTCTTATCCCACTTGACTGGCCAAACCCACGAGCCCATATGGACTCATGATTGAAGGGGAAGGAAGCAGCTTCTGTTGTGATGGAGCACCCGTAGGTAGAAGCCTGACTTTTGCTCCGTGACGCTCTTACAGTCATAGAAGACCGGGACCTACGGCTTATAGTGGATTCCGAACCACTACAAACATCCATGGCACCGCCGGGATTCGAACCCGAAACCTGTGGCATCGAGCGCCAGACCGCTAGACATTCGGCCATTCAGGTCCCAAATTTGCCAACGGCACGCGGTGTTCCCAGGTGGTCACCCACCCAAGTACTGACCGCGCCCAATGGTTCGGTGATCTAACGAGAACCGGTATATTCAGCATGGTACGGCCGTTGGCATTTTATGATAATAATAGCATTGTTATTTTGATATTTATAAGGCTATTTTATTATTTTTAATAATAAAATAGCCTTATAAATATCAAAATAACAATGCTATTATTATCATTGGATATTAAATAGGTAATCTTTCACTTTTTAATGTTGCAGTGATTCGGAATCCATCTTATACCACAGGTTTTGGTCTCATATGACTAGAGCGTAGGACTGACAATCATAGTCTGCGAAAGGAAATCTGCCTACAAGCAGATTTCAAGAGAGGAGATGCTTTCTTTTTACGGTGTAGGTTTTTCAACCCTCTTCTCAATGACCTACATTCGTATTAGACTGGACATTACGTTAAAAGGGATTCTGAATCACTATAAACATCCATGGCACAGCCGGGTCTCAAACCCGAAACCTTAGGTGGCAAGCACCAGTGCTTTACTCACTCGGCCATTAGGCATTTTTTAATTTATTACCAAATATTTATTCAAAATATCAATGATTCTAATAATAAAATATATATTAACAAAATTATAAATGTCCTGTTTTTATTTAATAGCTGCAGAGCTTTTTTTATATACTTTGTTTTCATCAACAGAAAATTTTCTCCATCAACTCCTGTGTTTATTATTTTCATCTTCATAAGAACTCAACCTCTCCATAGTTCCTCTCTGATCGATAATAAAAGACAGCAAAAAAAACTGATACTCGGATTGTATGTCGACTCGCCAAGGTTCAAGTATTCTTTCTGTTTGCTTTTTTTTTTTCGGCCATGCGTGACGCTTTTGGAGACATCGGTATTTTTGTTCAAATACGAAAGCATATTCCTCCTTTTATTCCTTTTTTATTTCTCTCTGTCTCAGTCTCACTCTCTCTCTCTGCGAGAAAAAAATCGTTACAATTCGATTTCCTTTATAGCACATCCTATTGAAGTAAAAGCAAAACATTTGCTCTTAGAGGGTATATAATAAAGGCGGTTTTTGTTCTTCGTAGAGTGGGGTATTTTTAGGTGGTTTATATTGGATAGAATGGCAACAGTGCATCTTTTGATGGCCAAATTGTATAGAAATATGTCTATTGTGTACCGGTTGAATAGAGGGAGAAGGGAATGCCTAGTTTAGAACAAAACCACTTCAGATTGTATTCTTCAAGTTGGAAATAGAATTTTGAAAATTAAAAAATAAAATAAATATTTAATAATAATAATAGTAATAAATAAATAAATACACACATACATATATATATATGTAAAATATATTATAATAATAATATAAAATAATGCGTGGTAATTAATAATCATGCATAAACAAAAAATCAAATATCATTTATATTGTTATGATTGCATATTAAATATGCAAGTATACTATAATATGCTATTTTACTTTTTAATTTATTGATTATTGATGTGTAATGATTCGGAATCCACTTTAAACCAGAGGTGGCAGTCTCATATGGCTGCAGAGCAAAAGACTGGCAACCTTACCCTGTAAGAAGAAGTAAGCTCAAGTTTTGAAAATAGCTAGTGGGCAGATGGCCCTGGTATACCTTGGGATTGTTGTGCCATTGTATCATGGGAAGTTTATAATGAAAATTTTCACTTGATTATATATATATATAATCAAGTGCAAATTTTCATCAGTTCTACGATGAACAATTATAAAACTTATATATTTTATTTTCTTCTTCATTGGCGCTACAGCCCCGTGATGGGCCAAAGCTGCTTACTTACAGATTTCGAGACAGGAGATGTTTTTTTTAAAGGGTAGAGTTATCAGCCCTACGCTCAATGCTCTACTGTCATATTAGACCGGGACCTACTCTTTAAAGGTGATTCCAAACCCCAGGAAGCATCCATGGCAGCACCAGGACTCAACCCCGAAATCTGTGGCAACGGAGGCCAGAACGCTTGTCATTCGGCCACCAGGCCCACTTATTTTATTACCAACATTTATTTTCTTATGAATATCATAATATGATACATATTTATAAAATTGTAAATGTCTTGTTTTTATTTAGTAAATGCAGTTTTTATGTAATAAATGTATGACTCATTTTATATACGCAGTTTTCATCAACAGAACATTTTCTGCATCAACTCCTGCATTTATTATTTTCATCTTTATAAGAACTGAACCTTTCCATAGTTCCGATCGATTATGAAAGACAAAAAAAAACTGATATTCGGATTCTATGTCGCCTCGCTACGGTTTGAGTATTCTTTCAGTGGATTGTTTCTTTTTTCAGCCATGCGTGACGCTTATGGAGACGTCGGTATTTCTGTCGAAAGACGAAAACATATTCCTCTCTTTATTCCTTTTTATTTCTCTCTCTCTCTCTCTGTCTGCGAGAGAAAAATTGCTACAATTTGATTTCCTTTATAGCACATCCTGTTGAAATAAAAGCAGAGCGTTTGTGCTTAGAGGGTTCTATAATAAAGATGCTTTTTGTTCTTTGTATAGAGGGGTTTTTGATGCGGTTTATATTGGTAGAACGGCAACAATGTATTTTTTTATGATCACATTGTATAGATATATGTTTATTGTGTACGGGTTGAATAGAGTGAGAAAAATAAAATAAATAATATTAATTTTGAATAATAAATATATGTAATATATAATAAATATATTACAATATAACTAATAATATAAAATAATAATAAATAAATAATAAATTATTATATGAATGTAATAATAATGCTTGATAATAAATAATTTCGTATAGATACAAAATAAGATAACAGTGATGTTATTATGATTGTATATTAAATATGCAAAATTTAACTTTTTAATGCTATTGATTATTGATGAGTAGAGATTCGTAATTCAACTTAAACAGCAGGTCCCGGTTACGGTAGAGTGTAGGGCTGGACACCCAAACCTATAAGAAGAAATGTCTGTTGATGACCATATTGTACAGAAATATGTTCATTGTGTACCGGTTGAATAGATTGACAAGGAAATGATTAGTGTAGAACGAAGACACTCAAGATTGTATTGTTTAAGTTTGAAATAGCATTTTTAACAATAAAGTAACCTTATAAATATCAAAAAACACTGATATTATTATCATTGTGTATTAAATAGGTAGTATTTTACTTTTTAATATGGTAGTGATTCGTAATCCCCCTTATATCACAGGTTTTGGTCTCATATGAGTGGAGCGTATTGCTGACAATCATGGACTGTAAATATAAATCATCTCATATTTCAAAATCTCCTAGTAGACTGCAATCTTGACCTACCATGGCATTGTTATGCCATTAAAGAAAATGACATATATATATATATATATAGATGTACGTATATATATATATGTTGTTGTTGGTTTCTTATCCCACTTGGCTGGCCAAGCCCACGAGCCCTTATGGACTCATGATTGAAGGGGAAGGAAGCAGCTTCTGTTGTGATGGAGCACCCGTAGGTAGAAGCCTGACTTTTGCTCCGTGACGCTCTTACAGTCATAGAAGACCGGGACCTACGGCTTAAAGTGGATTCCGAACCACTACAAACATCCATGGCACCGCAGGGATTCGAACCCGAAACCTGTGGCACCGAGCGCCAGAGCACTTGACACTCGGCCATTCAGGTCCCAAATTTGCCAACGGCACGCAGTGTTCCCAGGTGGTCACCCACCCAAGTACTGACCGCGCCCAATGATGCTTAACTTCGGTGATCTAACGAGAACCGGTATATTCATCATGGTACGGCCGTTGGCTATATATATATACATATATATATAATCAAGTGGAAATGTTTATCAATTCTCTGTTGATCAATTATGAAACTTATTAGTTACTTTATCTACTTCTCCCCTGGCACTAGCAGATTTCAAGGCAGGAGATGCTTCCTTTTTAGGGTGTAGGTTTGTCAACCCTATTCCTGATGACCTACAGTCCTTTTAAACTATACATGAGGTTAAAAGGGATTCTGAATCACTTCAAACATCCATGGTCTCGAACCAGAAACCTGCGGTGGCAAGGACCAGAGCTTTACTCATTCGGCCATCAGGCCTACATAATTTGTTACCAAATATTTATTCAAAATATCAATGATTCTAATAATAACATATACATTAACAAAATCATAAATGTCCTGTTTTTATTTAGTAAATGAGTTGCTTATCTTACATGTGCAGTTTTCTTCAACATAACATTTTCTGTATCAACTGCCGCATTTATTATTTTCATCTTTATAAGAACTCAATCTTCCCATAGTTCCCCTCCGATCGATGATAGAAGACAAAAAAAAAAAAAAAAAAAAAAAAAAAAAAAAAAAACTAATATTCGGATTGTATGTCGCCTCGCTACGGTTCGAGTATTCTTTCTGTTACGCTTATGGAGACATCGGTATTTTTGTTGAAAGACAAAAACATATTCATCTTTATTTCTCTCTCTCTCTTTCTGTGCGAGAAAAAAATCGTTACAATTCGATTTCCTTTATAGCACATGCCATTGAAATAAAAGCTGAGCGTTTGCGCTTAGATGGTTCTATAATAAAGATGCTTTTTATTCTTCGTATAGAGGGGTTTTTTAGGTGGTTTATATTGGATAGAATGGCAACAATGCATCTTTTGAATGACCAAATTGTTTAGAAATAGAATAAGAATTGAATAGAGTGAGAAGGAAATGCCTAGTTTAGAACAAAACCACTTCAGATCGTATTGTGCAATTTGGAAATTGCATATTGAAATTAAAATAACCTTATAAATGTCAAAATAACTTTGATATTATTATGAATGTGTATTAAATATGAAAAATTAAATTTTTTAATGTTATTGATTATTGAATAAGTATATCAAATTAATATTTTGTTAGAAATGGTTATTGTCAGTTCGAAACCTTTTCAAATAGATCTCGTGAGTGTTCTTTTTCTTATTAATGGCCTCAAAGAAGCTAAAAATTTTGATAACCCTGCATTAAAATATAAAACTTATTTATATAATTAAAGAAACATAACACGGAAGATCCTACCTGAATGGTTACATAAAAGATGGCTCCTTAACTGAACATTCA